TGCTTTTCGGCCGTGCTCTTTGTCTTTGTTGGAATGGTATGAGTGGATGAACATTGATCGGCCTTAGGTAGGTTCTCGGGCCGCTTGTGACGCTGATGATATCCCTTTGTTCTGAGCAGCAACGTCCATTATCTAGGCAATGGCTACAAGACCTCATTCTAGCACGATAGATGCCTCCATGGCTCCTCACCTGCTGCCTTTAAGCACTCGTAAAAACATTTCGGTCCAATGGGCACTTCACAATCACCTCTAATCTGGGTCATTTCACCCAACTCTGGTTGTTGATTCAGCAGGTCCAGCTGTAACCAGATTCAAAGGATACTGTTTGTGGAATTATTCCAGCTCAGGTGTTTACTCTGCTCACTCTACATACTTGGCACAATTCATTGGCTCGTACTCCACTTGCAACTTGTCCAAGCTCTGGAAAGATAAGGTCGAGGACAAGTGTCACTTCTTCACTTGGCTTTCCGTTTGTGGCCAACTCCTCTTCAATGACAATCTCTCCAACAGGGGGTTGACCAACAATCAGTTGTGCAACCTCTGCGACCAGGTTGCGGAAACTCCTCTGCATCTCATCCTCAAATGCTCCTTTGCCAAGGAGGTTTGGCTGATGGTTGCGGATTGGAGTGTGGCTTCCCAGACCTCGTTACTAATGATGATCTTGCCACCTCCATTTCATCTTGGTGGAATGATTTCACCTACCCCATGGACGACCAACACATTTCCTCAACCACCTACACTTGCGCGGGAACATTTGGCGAGAGCGGAATAGGCAGGTGTTTGAGCACACTTTCGTGCAAGGTCTTGGAGTTCTACACCTGATTAAGCAAGACTTGATACTGCTAACTGTTAAAGTGAACCTCCCTTGAGCCTGACTAATGTAACCTCGCTTTCTGTTAAGTGCAGGATGCATTTCTGCAGCCATAGGTTGTGCTTTGTAATGCTACTCCTATAAGATTATCTCTTCTTAATCATAGTCCATCATTGCCACTTCCTCAAACCTTCTCACTATTTTAAAAAGTCAAATCTTTAGGTTATAAATAAAGTCGAATGTTTAAGAGATTAAAATTTTCCTTAGCTAGCAGACCCTTATAGTTTAATAATCCCCTAAATTTTTTTGGTTTGTTAATTCTTCCAACTTTTTGTCAAACAATTGAAACAAAATCATCAGATTTCAAAGAAAACGTAAACAATTCAAATGCATCGTATCATAATTGAAGTAGGGCATAAATAAAGTTCATCCAATCCATCAAACCATAACTATAGTTTGTGTCAAAGGGCGCCAAATTAACAAGTTCACTCAAAAAAACACCAACACATGGTGAAACAAGAGCCATCGTAGCATGGGCCTCATGCAATCGCATCGTCACCACCAACAGCAGCACCACCACACATCTTAGTCAAGATGTCCCCATGATCAAGCTCCCAATATTATTTTGCCTTCTCATCCATGTTGCTAGGATCCATGAACATGATAACATGGTCCTCGACCACTCTTTTTGTCTTTGCTCCTCGACAACGAGTGCAAGCTTTTACTCCTCAAACTCAATCTTTCCATTTTTTCAGCCTCTAGCGCAAGTATTTTCATCTCAATTTCAAGTCTTTTTTCTTCCACTAGAACCTTCCTCTCTTCGGTTGCCGTCTTTGCCTTCCACTTCTCGTCCTCCATCATATTCATCTCATAGAAACAAGTCATCTTTCCCTCCTTCCAATGAGCCGCCAATGCCTGTTCACCTCAACCATCGCAATCGCTTCTTCTTTGTCTAATCCAAGCACCACCATTCTTTTTGGTTTGGTTTGCAATTTTGTATCCATCCGACCAGACATAAAGTATATGGGTTCTATACCAAGTCATCATCATCGACAACATTGGTGTTGATTCTTTGGTCGTGGCATCAAGAGGGACGTTAATCCAAGCTTCACGCAAAGAAATATCTTCTTGGGTATTGTAGTTGCACGACCTAGTCTGTCTGTAGCAACATCTATGCTCGTATTGCAGGTTGTATTCACTTCTGGAGTCACCTCTGGCGACCTTCTTTATATGGGAACAATCCTATTTTTAAGTACTTTCTAATTATGTCTTCATTTCCTACACATTATGTCCATATTCACAACAAAAATATTAAAAGAAGGAGATTTGTATTTCTTTGCAATTTTTAGCAATCAGTGGGCAGTATGAAGTGACAATTACAAATAATGTATAAGAATACCAATTTAAACTCAGGTAAAAATGAGTGTTGAATCCATGGATTACTCTGCCATGTGGCCACAGCAAGCACCAATGCAGGGTGTACGTCTTGGGAAACTGTGTTTGTTCTTTCCTTGATTGAGTGGAAGGCAACATCAATAATTGCTAGGCTCAGCTTGATTTTGCTATCATTTGCTTCTTAACTATAGACACCGGCCCAACTTAGACATACAATGGCAAGACAACAATTGGATAGAAGAACCGAATCTTCCTTTGTTTCTTTTTTACTTTGTATATTAAGTTTGTTTTAAGTCAAACTTTTTGTAGTTTGACCAAGTTTATAGAAAAAAACCAATTAGACACATTTGAAGTCAAGTTATAGAAAACACCATTTCTTTAAAAAATAGATAACTTCAACTATTGGGCAAAATCATGACACATATCACTAATTAGCCGCTTAGCTCGTTTTAGGAGTAAAAAATGGTAGGCCCCGATGTGCGGAGTTAGGTAATGGCTCGAGACCTTCATCTAGCAACAGATCAACCTAACAATCAGGGGCATTGTGCAGTTTTGCTACGAGTTAAGCGTCAAATCAATGCTAAGGGCTCATGACCCTAGCCTGATAGTGGTGGTTGTGTGCAAGAACATAGAAATTGTAGTTTTGTGATAATCTAACCCTAAATGAAAGAGAGAGGGAGAGAGAGACAGTAAAAGGGAAAATGTATTTTCTCGGTAAAATGATGATGTTTTAGGACAATGTCCATTCATACTAAGAAGCACTAAACTGTTTAGACCCATCAATATAATTTTTGCACGAAACCCTAATTAGCTAGGTTAGCTTTTCAAATAATCAAGTGAATGCATAAGCTGAATGCACCCAAAATTTAAGTAGAATGCGGAATAAATCAACAACAAAACTTGATTTACAAACGCACAATGTGATTTAAGTTCTTCTGTGTGACGTCTACAAATGATATTATTCCATGGCATACATGGCACCGTGACATATGCATGAATCCCTGGCCATTGTTTAACCCTTGAGAGTGAAGAACATCGAAACATGATTGACCATGGAAGAACCACACAAAGAGCAATATCAACCATCTCAGGACAACAAATCCCTCGTAGACAGCACATTCGTTCTAGAATTTTCTTTGGTACTTAACCATATACATGCGATCCCATATTATAAGATTCTTTTTGTTAGACATGCATTTCTTGGACCTCTTTGCCACCGTATGTAGAGGTGTGAAAATAGGCAATGAACAAATATACTCTATAATAATTAATCTAAGAGACATAAATCGGTATGCCCATGCATGAGATATTTTCCTCGGATTTTGGGAGGTTTAATTTACTAGATATGCTACAAGGGGCAATAGCTCAATTAACATGATTTCTCTTTTTCTAAAAGAGAGCAGATCATTTTGATAAGTATATGTTTAGTTGTATCATAACAATATTTTGATGCACGACAATGTGCTCAACTTTTCTCAATATATTCTAAATTTGCACATTTGTAGAATGAATTATTAATAATTAAAAAAGTTTGGTATAAACAAGTTAATTCATTCTATTATGTATTGTAATCATGGACTTCCTAGAAAACTCATGTTAATTGAAGGAGTTATAAAAGATATGAGTCACGCAGGTGATGAGGCTACGAAGTGAACTGCGGTCCGATCTTTCAATGAAAGATGATATCTACAATTTCAGAAAACTCGTCCCTCACGATCCAGCTACCAAATGTATAGGAAGAACCCTACACGACTGATATCCATGACAGTTGATGAACCAACTCTACTGTGTTATCGACTGAGCCAACAACATGATCGACCTATCCATGAAGGATTTTTCTGCAGGCAAACCAAAGAAAAAAACAGAAAAACAATAGGATGTCTTGACTGCCACACTAGCCGCTACGAGAGAAGACGAATAAAGTAGCAAAATCCAAACTTCTCTCAACAAAACCCAATCCCGACACTATCGGCGACTAAGTACTTATTAGAGGATCTGATACTCCCTCCGTTCGGTAAAGAGCGTACATCTAGCTTTAAAATTTGTCCACAAAAGAGTGTACTTCTATCTTCTCAATGCACTTTAAAGTAGAAAAAAAATATTTCTCTCTCATCACACGGTAATCAAGACCAATAGCAATCTAAACATGGTTCTCTTAATTTCTACATGCACTTAGCTCATTGGGGGTTGGGTAATTAAAGAGGAGAGAGATGGTGGCTCGCACCTTTTCAATGCATTTTTTACCTAAATTCACAATTTGTCCTAAAATTTCTAGATGTACACTCTTCACCGGACGGAAGGAGTAGAGAATAATATTAGGACATTTTCTAGATTTTATAATAATCCTCTACATAACTTCTACCTTGTTCTAAATGTGGCAGCACATGAGGTTACACTCTAATCGTCTGATCCGAGCAAGACAAAATAAGTATATTTACCAAAGAGAAAAGTTATATGAATGCTCACAATTTAATAATGTATGAACAATGCCTGAGATTGGAAAATACCTAACAATCTTTATATTGGAGTTGAGAGTTCTTTTCGTTGACCATTGCATGTTGAAGAGTATTTGACGGTTGCAACCGGAGATCATGAAGTACTAGCATAAAAATTAGTTATATATTGGTTAGATACTGGAATTTGCACGACTCGGTAAAAGAAAGAAACTTGTTGCTATGTGAAGATAACATCAAAAGTGTGCCTTTGAGCTGAAGTTCTATCTAGAAGTGTTCATTGAACTGAAGTATTTGGGTTGGGTTAATTTTTAATGGTGCCTATGGTTGTAGGAGATATGCCCTAGAGGCAGTAATGACAGTTATTTTGTATCTCCTGGTTTGTAATGAAGGTTTATGTTCCATACTATAACTGCAATGATTCTCGAGTCTGCAAATAAAACGAGGCTTGGAGGGAAACTCATGTGCACGTGTGGGATAATAAACGGTAAAATGTATTCCTAGTCAAGCCTCTATGACTGGCTCAAGTATTGCATGATGATCCTGTTTTCCTGATCATGGGCATGACTATGCCGACAATTTTGAGGGCACAATTGTTAGTAGAACACATGTGTTGAATCGACCCAATATGATGTTATGCTATGAGATACTTTCGTCACAAGTTAATGGTTAATAACATAGGAAAGTTAATGTTTGCATAATTCCTTAGACCATGAGAGTATCTAGTTTCTTCGTACTTGCTTCGTGAACTTTGGGGTTTGTTAAACGTCATCCGTAACTGGGTGGCTATTACGGCGGCTTATGGGTTCACGGAAAAGTATGGCAAGTAACGAGATAGCTCAAGATTGGGATTTGCTCCTCCGACGATGGAGAGATATACTCGGGCCCTCTCGGTGTAACGGTATCCATCAT